CATTTTTTTAAAATCTAAAAAAAAAAAATCAATGAAATTTGTAAACCCCTGACCCTCCCTCCTCCAGGTGGTGTTTACGCATCTTGTCCTCTCTCTTACCCACCACCCACCACTAACAAAAAAGAAAGAAAAAAAAGCTATTATACTATTATAAATAGATCTAAATAAATTAATGGATGAATTACTAAACGTTCCCCCCCCAGGTTGTATTTGCCCACCTCCTGCCCAACTTCGCGGAGTGCTGGTGGGACGCCATCGTGCTGGACGTACTGCTGTGTAACGGGCTGGGCATCTGGATGGGCATGTGGCTGTGTCGCAAGCTGGAGATACGGGACTACCACTGGGAGAGCATCAAGTGAGTGCTAGCTTTTTGTGTCTGTCGTTGCTCTTAAGTCTTCTCTCTGTCCTCTCCTCTACCTCCCTCCCTCCCTCCCTCCATCAAGAGAGTGCACAGTGTTTGTATTGTTCTTAGGTCCTCTCTCCTCTCCTCTACCTCCCTCCCTCCATCAAGTGAGTGTACGCTTTTTGTGGCCTTCTTCATAGGCCTCCTCTCCTCTCCTCTACCTCCCTTCCTCAAGAGTGGGTACTCTGGTGTGGTTTGCTCCTTCTTTCCTATCAAACATCTTAGGTTCTGATCTCTCCTTTTTTATGTTTGTTACTCTCTTGTAACATCTCTAATCTTCGGCACTGATATATAACCTTATTGTGTTGCAAGTGCCGTAAAACTTCCTAAAGTGAGTGCAGAGTTTGGATTGTTCATAGATCTCTACCTCCTTCCCTCTAGTGAGTGCTGGCTTTTGTACTGTTCTTAGGTCTCCTCTCTCCTCTCCTGTACCTCCCTCCCTCTAGTGAGTACTGAGTTTGTGTCGTTCTAAGGTCTCCTCTCCTCTGCTTCCCTCCCTCACTCTAGTGAGAGCTGGCTTTGTACTGTTCTTAGTTCTCCTCTCCTCTACCTCCCTCCATCAAGTGAGTGCACAGTTTTTGTATTGTTCTTAGGTCCTCTCTCCTCTCCTCTACCTCCCTCCCTCACTCTTAAACCTGTTCTCCTCTAGCTCCCTCCCTCAAGGGAGTACAAAGTTTGTGTCCTTCCTAGGTCTCCTCCCCTCTACGTCCTTAAGTGAGTGCAGGTTTTTGTACTGTTTAGGTCCTCTCTCCCTTCCTCTACCTCCCTCCCTCTAGTGAGTACAGAGTTTGTGTCCTTCATAGGTCTCCTCTCCTCTGCATCCCTCCCTCTAGTGAGAGCTGGTTTTCGTACTGTTCTTAGGTCCTCTCTCCTCTCCTCTACCTCCCTCCCTCACTCTCAAGTCTCTTCTCCTCTACATCCCTCCCTCTAGTGAGTGCAGGTTTTGTGTCCTACTTAGGTCTACTCTTTCTCCGTTCTTCTCTCGTTCTTCTCTCTCTACACCCTACTGCCTTCTACTTCTTTCCTCGTCCTTCCCCCACCCCCACCCCCCTCACACATGCCCGCCCCACTCTGCCTCTCCTTTCACCCTCCCACCCACCCCACTTCCATCTTATCTTACCATATTATGTTATCCTTTCTTATCTTACTTTTTTTTTCCTTTTCTTATTTTACCACGTGTTGTTTCATAAATGTTGTTTTATAGTACGTATCTTTCAAACACTAGTGCTCATAAACGACCTACCTGGCACTGCCCCCGCCCCCTCCCCAGTACAAGAATACAAGTTTTTGTTTTTGTATGAGTTTTATGGCGCTCGCAACTTCATAAGGTCATACGAGCGTGGACTTTGTTTGTACTTTTAGACAGTAAGAATCCGCCATGACAGCCACCTATTGTCGAAGATTTGAGTGGCTGTCTTAGACAGGTGGATGTCTCGGACAATGTCATTTTTTAAAAACACCTCAAGAGGGGAGAAGTAGGAAGTGAAGGTAACACCCCCCCTCCCGGGGCAGTGCCACTGACTGTAGTATCTTTAGGCCATTCCCAAAGGGGGGATATTTCTCGTTCAAGCATAGTAGAATTGTAAATGGGCTGACTCATGTCACGCTCATAACTGTGCCTGATTTATGGAACTGCTGCTTTTTCTTTCCTGATCCTTACTATTGTTGTTTTCGTCTACTTCTTTTGTATGTTTGTCACTCTCTTGTGACCCACTATTTCCGGGGTGCCTTGATAGTCGAAGCAGACTTTGTGCTGTTGAAGCTAGAGAGGTGAGCAGTCTAAGTCTGATTCCCTGTAAAGACTTCCCTATTGACATGCACCCCTTGGTTGGGGGGATGGATGCCGTGAGGATTTTTTTTTTTTT